TGCAACAGTAACAGGAATAGTTAATAAAATTCTGTATGCAATAACTGCATTAGGATAACAATCAAACAATTCCAAATCTTTCAAAATTTCAATGGGTCCTAGTTTTTCATTAACATACAACTCTCTTCTTAGTTTTAACTCCACATACAACTCATCTCCATTAATATCCGAATGTCCATTATGCTTAAGAGAATTTTCAAGACGACTACAGGAAGACTTCAAACTCATATCATCTAAAGAACTTAACCTGTCAGAATTAAACAAGAAACCAAATATTTTCTCATACTCTTGAAATTGCTCAAACCTACTTTTAAGAGAAACAACAGCTTGATCAACAATGAAAAAAAAATAATTAACTCTAAATGAATCTTCTGCAGATAATGAAACTTCTAATGATGCATTTGAATTTTCATCGAATTGTTTTTTTTCTACGGATTTCACGTCTCTTAGGAAAAACGGGGTCTATATCCATTTTAATAGCAATTTCCTTAGCAGAATCCAAGGCATCATTAAAACCACTTTCTCTATATTTCTCAAAAAAAGAAATCAATTCCTCAATTTTTTCGAAAGCAACATCAATAAGCATGTCTTTGGATTGCAAGTACTTGCTAACAAAATTAATACGATACAATATATGAAACCATATTACTATAGCCACCAAAAATTCAAAATCACCAAGTTCATTTGTTGCTAGAGATTTAGCTTCACTTCTTACTAAGGAATCACTATCAACATCTGCAACTTGGAGTAAAGCCTCTCGTATTTCTACCATTTGAAATCTTATGGCTTGAACACTCTCAACACGACTCTCCCAACGAGTGGAAGATAATGACTTAAGAGTTAAACCATGTACATTATCTTTCAAAATACCCCATCTCTTGGTAGATTTTGCAAAAATTGTATATATACGTTGTATGACTCCAAAAAAATCTTTTGCTTTACTACAAGCATTTGCCATATCACATAAAACTAAATTAAGACTATGACAACCACATGGAGTATAAAAAGCTCTAGGATTTTCATCTAAAAGTCTTTTTTGCACACCTTGATGTTTACCCTTCATATTTGACCCATTATCATAACCTTGTCCACGTATATCAAAAATATTAAGATTAAGAAGATGCAATTCATTTTGCAAAGTACTAAAAAGACCTAGTCCAGTTGAATCATTCACATTCAAAAATCCTAAAAAAGACTCCTCAATATTAACTTGATGTGTAGAGACATCAACATATCTTATTATTAATGACATTTGTTCATTGTGGCTAATATCAGGAGTACAATCAAGTATTACAGAAAAGTATTTTGCTTGCTTTATTTTTTTTAATATTTCAGATTTCATCGAGGAAGCAAGCAAAGATATTAATTCATTTTGAATGCTATGACCAAGATAATGAAAGTAAATTTCTTCATTTTTAATACGCCTAACATGTTCTTGGATAATAGGGTCAAATTCGGCCACCATCTCAACTAAGCCTAAAAAATTTCCATTGCCATTTTGATACAATTTTTCATTAGTACCCCGAAAGGCTAAATTACGTTTGCCAAGAAACTTAACAAAAGAAATAATTCTTAACAAAACTCTTTTCCAATGATCTTTCTCCTTTTTAATTAATCCTTGAGCAACTTTGTCAATGGTTTGATTTTTCTTAAACCTTTGACGCAAATCATACCAAGTCGTCATATTTTTAATATGCTCCATACATGTCTCATGTTCTCTAAGTCTTTCACCAATATGAGCCCAATCATTGAAACCTTCATTTGTTAATTGACCTCTACCAATACCATTTTTAAAGATTTTGCAACAAAAACAAAAAACTCTATCAAGCTCTTTTGAGTAAACTAACCATTCTCTATCACATTTTTCGCCATTTGATAAGACCCTAGTATACAAATTTGCATTAAATTGCCTAGAAAACTTATCTTTAGGACCTTTTACAATAGAATTATCTCTCTTAGGACCATTGATTACTAATAAATCAATCATTTTCGAATCAAGTCCATCCCAATTTCTTGGATCAAAAATATCACAATTGTTAGTTTCATATAAAGCATCTGCATCATCATCATTGTTGGGTGAATTATTCATTTTTTCATTCTCTACTTGATCAATATTTTCAATATTAATATGCACATTGTTACCATTTTCAACATTAGTATCATGATTATCCACATTGTTTTCATTATCAACATCAACACCAACATTTGGATTTTCAGAAAAAATTTGTGGTGTTTTAATTATAAACTTATCTAATGCTCCTCTTTGTAATTGTTGTAACTCTTCATTTTTTTTTTGTTTCTTACGTTTTTCATAACCAGATTCATATTTCCTAATGCCGGGAGCCATAATATGCAATTCACAGATTCAGCAATTGAAATCAAAGTTATCAAACAACAATATTCTAACAAAGAGGCAAGGAGCAATCACATTACACATATAACATATAAAATTAAAAATTAAAAATTTAAAGTTAAAAAGGATTGAAACAACCTGATTGAAAAGTCCTTATTTTTTGTTTATTGTCTTGGTCGGTTACTGCCTTACTGCCGTCACGCCGACCAGCACAGCAGCACTCCCGCCTCTCCCCGTCTCCCGGTAACAAGCCAACACCGAGTACACCGCCACAGAATCTATAATATCTACAACAAGACTTGCAAAAAGTGCCAAAATGCATAATAAATTTGATTAAAACAATTTTTCAAAAAAAAAATTATTAAAACAATTTTTCAAAAAAAAAATTGATTAAAACAAAACGCAGAATAAATTTATTATGATTGCTGAGTTGCTTACCAGTGAGTCAGTGACCAGAAGGGGCAGAACCGCATAAGGAAGAAGGCAAGAAGCCAGAACTCCAGAGTCCAGAGTCCAGAAAAGCGCAGAATCCAATAAGTCCAGAGTCCAGAGTTCGTATTGCCTTGCCGGCGTGATAACTATTAACTAATAATGATATATATGATTTAAAAACAAAGATGCAAATAAGGAGGAAACGCCCAGGTTTAAGATTGAAGACTTCACCGCTTCCAGTCTTCCCGATTCCGTATTTCCGTGAATCCGTGCAGAATTGTCGAAGAAGACTAGAAGAATAAGAAGAGTAGAAGACTAAGATGAAATTCGTGGAGTGTGCAGCCTTTGCCGGAAACGCAGAAGTGTGGACGTCGAAGAAGACTAGAAGAGTAGAAGACTAAGATGAATTGAACTCTGAATCTCTGAACTTATTCCTCTCAATCCTCTACGGCCCTGCCAATCATGAATCGGCAAAGAAGACAAAGAAACATCGGGAAACAACATTATTGATTACTCAATTAATTCTTTCATAAATTTTAATTAACGTTGGAGAAAACTGATCGGTTTAATTGTAAAAAAAAAAAAATTTTTGTTTAATTAACGGAGAAAACTGATCAGTTTATTCCTCAGAATTTTTTTTTTTAATTTGTGAGGTATATTAGGTATACTACTATACTGGGCCTCTAAAATTTGGGGGCCCTCTAAAACTGGGGGCCCTGTGCGGTAGCCCAGCTTGCACAGCCCCAAATCCGGCCCTGCTTTAGCAACCATTTTTGCAAGAAATATAATGCTAATGGCTAAAAAAAAACTTTTTATTTATTGAACTTATAGGTGCATAATATATTTAAATCTAAAAAGATAATCTAAACATACTTGGTAACATATATATTCTGTCTCTTTACGTTCCAAGTCCTTGAGAACAACCTTTTGCTCATCCTCTGGCAAATCTAAGCTTGCCAACTTCTGCTCTAGAAATGAGCGCCCGCAGTTTGTAGAATAGAAAGCATATGAATAATTCAACAAAACATCTGACAATTTGTTTGATATTATGGTCTACCTTCTAGGAAAGCTAACTAAATCTAGTAAGTACTTCTCTAGAAATAGTTCATTTATCTCAATCCAAGCTAAATTGCTTGGATAATGTGTCTCATTTTGCGACTACTAGTAAAGCAAAAATTTTATTTTGTTATTTATTTTATAGGCTTATGGTTTAACTGATTAATCAATTTAACAAAGATAATAGTTTTGCTTCTTGAATGAGAATGACAATGGAGAAAATATAAGGAAATTGCAAATTTGCAAGTGAGAAATACTCGGATAAGATAGATTTAGTAAAGATAAAATTAACCAAATCAATTAGCTAATTTCTATTTCACTATATACCATGTCAAAAGATGAAAATACATCATGTCATATAGTGAACCAATAGACTCTATAACCCAATGAACCATTCCTGGAATCTGAAACAGAAAGACAAATGCCAAAGCATTTGCCTGACAAAAAACCTCATATTATTACACACAGTTGTATTACAATCGTTTGGATGAAGAATATATATATATATATATATATATATATATATATATATATATATATATTGTTGGGAAGAAGACATCCAAAGAGTGTGTTTTAGCAAATAAGCTTGTCCCACATTGGTTTCCCAAGAGGATATTTCCCACTATTTCACTACCAACCCAAATGGGTCCTTTGAAGTGTTTTCTAGAGAGAGGAAAGGGGGAGCCTCGCGCGCGTCGCCGCCGCCCGCCCGGCTCGGCTCGGCTCGCGCGGTGGGGTCAAAGTTTTGTACTTTGTCCGAATTTTTTACTTTTGAATCAGTCTTTTAGTCCGATTTTTGCGCTGTGGCTGGTTTGTGCGCGACCTATCCTTTCTTTGCGTTCTTAATTGTGGTAGTAGTGGGAAGGCAGTTATTATAAACTAACTAGTATAAATACCCAGCCTTCCCATACCGCAAATGCATTCAGCAACTGCGCTAATACGTATACTCTGTGCAACCTATACGTGAGTATCCTCTGTGTTTGCTGGTCGAAAGCCCCGGATATAAAAGACTCGCACGGTCTCCGGAATTAGCTTTTAAGGTAGTGTGTCTATACACACGTCACAGAAATTAAACAAATAACCCTCCATTAAATATTATATCCGAAACACTGCCAAAACACAACAGTTAAAAGCTAATCCCTCCGTACCAAAAATCAATATGTCTACCTTCGTCGCCAAAGCTGCTGCTGACCTCACGAAGATCGAACCCCTCAACGGGCTCAACTACCGCAGGTGGGCGGTGAAGCTAATGATCCATTTCGAAGCCCTCGAAATTGACTATGTCGTCCTCAACGGTCCACCGGCGAACCTGCTAGAAGCTGTCCTGCCTGCACAACCAGTCACGACTGATGATGAGCAGTCAGACAATGCAGCCACTGAACAGAATGCAGCAGCAGCAGATCCGAAGACGCCACTTTCGTCCAAGACAGACGATCGAATCCAAGACACTCGTACCAAGTACGAGCGCGATAATAAAACGGTAAGGGGTATTCTGCTTCATTATATGTCCGATGCACTACTGGACATTTATGCCAGCCACAAGTGTGCCAAAACAATATGGGATTTATTGCGAAAGAAGTACGGCTCAGACGACGCAGGGCGGAAGAAATATGCCGTTGCCCGCTGGTTGAACTACAAAATGATGGATGGTAAGCCAGTCATTGATCAAGTGCATGAGTATGAAAATTTGGTTGGAGATCTAATCACCGAAGGTATACCTGTAAGTGACGCCCTTCAAACTTATTCTCTTCTTGAAAAATTACCAGAATCCTGGTCAGGATTCCAAAATAAAATGAAACACGAGCCTAAGGAATGTACATGGGAAGAAATGGTAAACCATATCAATATTGAGGAGGCATTTTGCCTCAGGCAGAGCTCAATTTCTTTTTCTGAAAAAATGAAGGCTAATGTAATAGAAACGAGTGACAGGTCTAAAAATGGAAATGCTGGCCAAAATAAAACCTGGAAAAAGAATGTGAAAGTCAATAACACCAACAACTTCAAAGCGAATAAGAATCACAAAGCAGGTAAAGGGGGACCATGCTATGTCTGCGGGAAGCATGGTCACCGGGCAGCACAGTGCTACTACAAGAAAGGAGGAAATGACCCGAAGGGAAATCAAGGCGGACCCAAGAATCAAGCCAATGTGGTGGAAGAAAGTGAAGTGGTAGCAGCAGTAATAACGCTTGAAGCAAACATAGTAGAAGATTCCAAAGAATGGGTCGTGGACACCGGAGCTTCACGTCATTTCTGCTCAAATAAAGGCCTCTTCAAGAACTTCCAGGCAATTGCTCAAGGACAAGGTGACCAAGTCTACATGGGAAACGATAGCATGGCTGAGGTAAGAGGTAGTGGTAGTGTAGAAATAAAGCTGTGCTCTGGCAAAAATTTACTATTGAGCAATGTAATGTATGTACCCACTCTGCGTAGAAACTTGGTCTCGGGGCCGCTGTTGGTCAGAGCCGGGATCAAGTTGGTGTTTGAATCTGAAAAAATGATCATGAGTCGCAGGGGGGAATACTTGGGAAAAGGGTATTTGCGTGGGGGGCTGTTTGTGTTGCCTCTCATTGCATTTACCAACGAGAACATTACAAATAATGCGAATAAAGTAAATAACGTGGCCAGTGGTTCTGGCAATTCTGCTTATATTGCTATCTCATTTGATATGTGGCATGCTAGGTTAGGACACATAGGCGTTAAATGCATGAATAGATTAAAAAATATGAATTTATTGCATAATGTGTCAAGTGAAAACGGAACTAAATGCGAAACTTGCGTCGAGGCAAAGTTTACGAAAAAACCATTCTCATTAGCTCAACATAATTCAAAGTGTGCATTAGACTTAATTCATTCGGATATAGCAGATTTTAGAAATACTGAATCTAAAGGTGGGAAAAAGTATTACATATCTTTTATAGATGACTTTACTCGATTTTCTAAAATTTATCTGCTAAGAACTAAAGATGAAGCCGAAGAAAAATTCGTGATTTTCAAAAATGAAGTAGAAAATCAATTAAGTCTAAAAATTAAGAGATTACGTTCAGACAAGGGGGTGAATATGAGTCTTTGTCTTTTAAATCTCTTTGTGAAAAACATGGAATTATCCATGAAGTAACTGCACCATACACCCCTCAACAGAATGGTGTAGCCGAAAGGAAAAATCGGACTTTAAAAGAGATGATAAACGCTTTCTTAATAAGCTCAGGTGCCCCTAACGCGCTGTGGGGGGAAGCTGCACTTACAGCTAATCATATCCTAAATAGGATACCTCATAAAGGGTACGAAAAAACACCCTATGAGATGTGGAAAGGATACACCCCAAATTTGAAATATTTCAGAGTGTGGGGGTGTTTGGCAAAGGTTGGGCTGCCTTCCTTTAAAAGGCCTAATCTTTGCCTTTGTTGGGTATGCAGAAAATAGTGCTGCATACTGGTTTATGTACTTAGACAGTCGGTCTATGTGTGAAGCAAGGGAAGCCGATTTTTTGAAAACGTCTTTCCCTTGAAGTCTACTAATAGCTCTCAAAGGGACGAACCAACCTTGTTCCCACCCTCACAGAGTGAGTATGATCCTGATCAGCTCAAAAGGAGCAAGAGACAACGAACTGAAACAAGCTTTGGTTCAGACTTTATCACATACATAACTGAATTAAAAGATATAAATGAGCTATCTGAACAGTTTGTATGTCAGTTAATCCTCGAGGAGGAGCCAAAAACGTTCGAGGCAGCTATGCGCTCAGTTGATGCTGTGTTCTGGAAAGAGGCTGTCCAGAGTGAACTGGACTCAATAAAGTCTAATCACACGTGGGAGCTAGTAGAGCTTCCAAAAGGAGCAAAACCTATTGGTTGCAAGTGGATTTTCAAAAGAAAATTGAGACCAGATGGGTCGATAGAGAGATTCAAGGCAAGACTCGTAGCAAAAGGTTATAAACAGAAGTTTGGAGAAGACTACTTCTGTACCTACTCGCCTGTGACAAAAATAGCTACAATACGAGTGCTATTTGCGCTGGCAGTAGCGCACAAGTGGACAGTCCACCAAATGGACGTCAAGACAGCTTTCCTAAATGGAGATCTGGAGGAAGAGATCTACATGGAACAACCGTCTGGGTGTGTTGACCCAGGACAAGAAGGAAAGGTGTGTAGACTCGTAAAGTCCCTTTATGGACTAAAACAAGCCCCTAAACAATGGAATGAAAAATTTCATAGAACACTAATGGAATTGGGGTACACAGTCAATAGATCAGATGCATGCCTATACTCAAAACAGTTTGAGTCAAGCATGGTACTCATCTGCATCTATGTAGATGACATGCTAATCTTCAGCCCTAATGTCAGTGCAATAATAGAGACAAAAAGGTCCCTATGTGAGAAATTTGACATGAAGAACTTGGGGGAGGCCGATGTGATACTTGGGGTGAAAGTTATCCAGAGTGGGAGTAACTACAAGTTATCACAGAGTCACTATACAGAAAAGCTGTTAAGAAAGTTCAACAGCTTTGAAGTGACTCCGGCTCCAACTCCTTATGACTCCAGTGTCAAGCTGACGAAACACACTGGAACAGGGGTAGCACAAGAAGACTATGCAAAGATCATAGGGAGTCTGATGTTCTTAATGAACTACACCAGACCTGATATTGCTCTAGCAGTAAACCGACTCAGTCGTTACACACACAACCCAAGTGAAGCACATTGGCATGCACTAAAACGTGTGTTGCGCTACCTGAGAGGTACAGTAGAGTGGGGGCTTAACTACACTGGGTTTCCAAATGTCCTAGAAGGATACTGTGACGCAAACTGGGTCAATGACAGTGATGATGTCAGCTCCACCAGTGGGTATGTTTTCACCATGGGTGAAGCAGCTGTGTCCTGGAAATCAACCAAACAGTCCTGCATAGCCAGATCAACAATGGAAGCTGAGTTCATAGCCCTTGATCTGGCTGGCCAAGAGTCTGAATGGTTAAGAAACCTACTGGCAGACATGCCGCTGTGGGGGAATTCCACTCCGTCAATCCATATACACTGTGACTCACAAACTGCTATCTGTGTAGCAAAGAACAGCATGTATAACGTGAAGAGAAGACACATAAGAGTCAGACATGAGTCTGTACGACAGTTAATAGTGAATGGGGTAATCACCCTAGAGTATGTGAAATCCGAGAAAAACATCGCAGACCCTCTAACGAAAGGGTTGAACAGGAAAGGCATCCTCGATACATCGAGGGAAATGGGGTTAAAATGATCGAGAAACCCTAAAGTGTCCAGCTGAGGCTAACAAATAAGTGTGCGATAAAGCTGATGTGTGCACCAGAGTTCAAAACCACCCACTTCTCAGTGAGTTCAAGACTCAGTTCACTCCTGAGAAGTAAGTTACTCAGGTCACTCTGTGTCAGTTCAAGTTCTACACTGGCATTAAGGTCAGCAAGCATCACAATAACCACACTCCTTGTATGTGTGGAGGATTGTTGGGAAGAAGACATCCAAAGAGTGTGTTTTAGCAAATAAGCTTGTCCCACATTGGTTTCCCAAGAGGATATTTCCCACTATTTCACTACCAACCCAAATGGGTCCTTTGAAGTGTTTTCTAGAGAGAGGAAAGGGGGAGCCTCGCGCGCGCCGCCGCCGCCGCCCGCCCGCTCGGTTCGCACGCGCGTCGCGGTGGGGTGGGGTCAAAGTTTTATACTTTGTCCGAATTTTTTTTACTTTTGGACCTATCCTTTCTTTGCGTTCTTAATTGTGGTAGTAGTGGGAAGGCAGTTATTATAAACTAGTATAAATACCCAGCCTTCCCATACCGCAAATGCATTCAGCAACTGCGCTAATACGTATACTCTGTGCAACCTATACGTGAGTATCCTCTGTGTTTGCTGGTCGAAAGCCCCGGATATAAAAGACTCGCACGGTCTCCGGAATTAGCTTTTAAGGCAGTGTGTCTATACACACGTCACAGAAATTAAACAAATAACCCTCCATTAAATATTATATCCGAAACACTCCCAAAACACAACATATATATATATATATATATATATCTTTATATATATATATATATATATAAAGATATATATATATATATATATATATATATATATATATATATATATGAGGGGATTATTTCAAAGCTCTTACCCCTCTTAAATGTGAATCAAAAGACTGGGAAAATATATACACCTCCATTAATTTCTTGAGAATCAATTGAAACACCTAACTCCTACTACATACTGCATAGAGGGATAAAGGTATAGATCACAAGACAACATTCCAAGAGAGCTTTTAACCCTTTGACCTGAAACCATTTCTGAATGTTTCAGGACATCTCATCGCGCGCAAACTCTTCTCCAGTTAGAGTTGAAGATGGGAGAGGCAGGATAGCCCTAAGCCCTGCATGAGAATCCTCAGTGCATGCAGTAGACTCTGTTATTTTTTTTTTTTATTTTTTTTTTTTGGAGAAAGCCATTCTTCTTAAAGTAAGTTTAATTGTTGAATGAAGTATACATCTATCTTTTTTTTTCTTCAATTATCAAATCTGATTCATTGCAGTGGATGTTCTGTTCTGTTCTATGCAGTATATACTGCAGTCACCGTAAAATTTGTCATCATTTATCCGTTTGCAAGAAGCGCCAAAAACAAGTCTAAGAAATTTAAGGACTGTTTCTTTCCCATCGAGTATGCAAAGAAATATTTACTCAGTAGGTTCTGGTTTTTGAAAAAAATAACAAAAAAAAAATTAAAAATTACGTACCTGCGGTCGACCGGCGTGCGTAGCTGCGGCAGTAGTCGGCATGCGTGGCTGCGGCGGCGAGCTTGGGCGGCAGCGGCGGCGACCTTAGGTGGCTTGCGGTGGACGATGAAGTAGCGACAGTGCGGATGGAGAGCGGCGAACGGCTGATGGACAGCGTCGAAGTGAAGAATGGACGACGGGGACGGCTGATGGAGAGCGGCGGACGGCGGATGAAGATCGGAGCGGCTGAAGACGATGGTTTACGCGTGAGAAGATCAGAGCAGGGTTATTTGGATGCTAGGGTTATTTGGATTAAAAAAATAATTCGCGTCCAAAGTTTGCCACTTTGGACGTGAGTGATGAATGAGATTCTATTATTCGCGTCCAAAGTACTGAGCTTTGGATGCGAATAATAGAAGACTTTTAATATTGGCGTCCAAAGTACAGAGCTTTGGACGCCAATACTGTTTTAAAATTAAAAATAAAAAAAGAAAATTATTTATATAGTGGCATTTTAATTACAAAAATTTCACCGCATTACACTTTAGGCGTACAAAGTTCTAACTTTGGACGCGAATTAGTCGATTTTATTGATGTTTTTTGTACTAGTGATGGAGCGCTCTCGTTGGTTTAGTTAGTTAGTTGCTCTACAGCTACACGTAGAATAATTGCTTACGTAATAGAGTCATCATTCCTGCACGCTGTCATCTGCCTTCCTTGCAAGCACAACTGGTTCTCCTTTACTTGCAGCATAAGCTAAGCCCTCTAATTATTTGCTCTTAATTCCTTCCATTTTATTAGAATTTGCTCAAGTCTCCATCCAAAATAAAATCTAAGGTCTCTTCATGTGGACCATGTCCACTACAACTTGAACTGTCGTCGAGTTGCCAAGCCCGCGACAGTTCCAAGAAATAATACTCATTTTGATGGGCGGGCTTACATAGTACCACCCGCCTCCAACAAGTTTTTTGGCACAAAAGAGTTTTCCTCCTCACTTTCCATATCAATGCCCTGAGCCTCC